CACAAGACTTGTAGAATTTACCTAACTTACAGCATGTCGGGAGGACGGGAAAGAACAAAACTTTGCGACGGCTGTTTTTCACTCAAACAGGAGCTAAAACTTCTTCAAGACCGAATGTTTGTGCTTGAATCAGAATTGGGGCTGAACACAACAATACCAGTGAAAGGAAATGGACCACATGGACAGAACGTAAGTTATGATGACGCTATTTCATTTCCCAAAATCAACAGAGACAATTGTTGGAACACATATGGTGCCAAGCCCAAACAAGGCAAAGCTAATGATAACAAGAGTGTCATAATGCCACAGCAAAAATCTTTAATTACAAGAAACCGCTTTTCACCACTTTTGGAAGATGAATCAGCAGTAGTCTCTACAACAAAGCTGCAAAAACTGCAAGCCTCCACCAAGGACAAACTGTGTCCTTATCGGAGATCTCGGTGAAAGAAATGTAAACATGGAGTCCAGCTCACTGTTCATCTCAGTTCACTCTGCTAAAGTTGCTGAGATAAGAACTCTCCTGCCTAAAGTGTTATCTGAGAACAGTGGATGTGCGTACATTATTGATCCACACTGGGGGCGGTAGATATCTATGACCACAAGCGAGAAGTTTGAATGGATTTACTCGCTGTTACTGGAATCAAGAAAATGGACATAACAATTTTTCTTAGTGGCCCACTGCCAAATATAGACGGGAAGTAAATGAAAATTCTGTCGTCTGTATCAGCTAAATACTTTCCTACTCAACGAATGTGCACGCAGAGGACTTGCCTCATTGAGAATTTTAATCTGTTCTGGAATAGGCATGAGCTTTCTTGAAGGGAAAGGGCCCATCTGAACACTTACGGAGTAAAAGTGTTGATGGATAACCTTTTCTATTTGCCCTGAGACCTCAGCTCAGCGCAGCGCGTGCAGCATCGAAAGGGAGGAAGCCACTCCAATAGTCTCTGAACCTCCCCACCTCGAAGGATCTCAACACCTCCACCACTCGAAGGATCTCAACACCACCACCACCTCCGAAGGATCTCAACCACCATCACGCCTCAAAGGAATCTCAAACACCACCACCTCGAAGGATCTTCAACACCTCCACGGTACTCAGAAGCAGCTGCATCATTCGACCAGCAGAAGCTGCATCATCACAGTAGCAGCACCCGCAGCACGACCACCACCCAACATCTCATCCCCAGCCTGCTCCAAAAGCAGCCACGTCTTCTTCATCTTCAGCGCCTCTGAAGCCCCCATCCTCACCCAGCCTACAGCAGACAGGCCTGTGCTGGGGTTTCTCAACCACCTTGCCCCTCCATCAAAGACTCCTCGCCACCTCCCATCGGAACCTGGCTTGGGTCCCCCTGCCACGTCCACTCCATCAAAGAGAGAATGGGGACCAGTCCCTTTGTTTTTCCATCCCCGCCTTCACTGTTAGACCTACTGAACCACTCTGCAGGGCTATTAAAATCGGCGATGAAGACTATCCACTCACCCCATATTAGCTCGATCTAGATCCTGTCAAACTGCTAAACCACTCCCCATATGTACCTCCAAAACCACTAGGGTTCCAATTTCACCTACAAAAACCACCTCAGGCCAGTCCCTTCCCTCAACCTCATGACCATGCCTCCCCCCACTCTTCCCTCGTTCAACATCCAAAACCTCTGCCTGCAGCCCACCCCGGCCTAACCCATCACTAAAACCCCTCCAACCTCCCTGCCCCCCTCGTTCAACACCCAAAGCCACCCACTCTCCATCCTCCTCCCCTGCCTTCCCTTTCCCTCTTTTCTATAAACAACTAGGATGCACAGGGTTCCTGACCTTCGCAGCCACTGCAGTATAGTTAGAGGAGAGAACCGGCTGGGGCCCTGTCATGAAGCCCTGTGCCAGTCCCTTAGTGTAACACAAAGAATTACATTACAGAAAAACATTGGAGATAATCAGTTAATCTGGAAAAATCTAATTCTTGTTCCGTTAAGAATCAGCCGACCGCAAACCGCTGATACTGAAACCTTTGAAACTTGCTACGTTAATGTCAGATCTCTTTGTAACAAGTCTTTTTTAATCAATAATTTTATTTGTTCTCATAATCTTGATCTTATTGTTCATGGCTGAAACTTGCGCTTGACCAAATTTCATAAAAATGCAGTTTTAATAGATGCATCACGCCAAGGTTTCAAGTTTGAATCTGAAATACGGGGAAAACAAAAAAGGAGGAGGCTTAGCTGCCATTTTTAGAGACCACTTTGTCTCCCATAGAATGTCTCTTGGGGAAGTTTTCGTCATTTGAATATGTGTCTTTTAAAATACAACAAAAACAAATCTCCTCCAATATCTTCATAGTCCTATACAAGCCACCGCAGTCAATGTCACAGTTTTATTGATAATTTTACCGAGTTGCTTTCGTTGTATGCACAGATTTTGATCGTTTGGTTATTACAGGTGATTTTAATATTCATGTGGATAATGTTGATGACGAAATGCAAATGAGCTGAGTTCTGTACTTGAATCCTTTCCCCATCTCACTCAGCACGTAAGTGGCCCCACCCACAGCAGAGGGCACACTCTAGATCTGTTAGTTACAAAGGGGGTGATTATTTCAAATGTAAACGTGGTCGATGTTGCTCTTTCGGATCATTTCTGTGTTTTTTTTGACATGTGTTTCACTAACAACCACCAGTGGACTCTGCAACTGTTCGAAGAAGGCGCATAAATGAAAATACGAGTGAATATTTATGGAAATGATAAACTTTGAGAATGCATCGTATTCTACTGTAGATGAAACTGTTTAACTCTGTCACCTCTAGTGTTATGAATGTTCTGGATACCGTTTGCCCCTGTGAAGGTTAAAATAGTGAAAAATAAGCAGAAGGCGCCGTGGGCTAAAGCAGACTCGGTCAGGGCACAAAAGAGAAAGTGCCGGAGGGCCGAGCGGAAGTGGCGCATGTCCAACCTCCAGGTAGATTACGAGATCTTCAAAGATAAGTTGTGCGAGTTTAACCGGGTGCTACGTAGTACGAGAGAAAGGTATTTTTCTGAAATGATTGAAGGCTGCAGCAACAATCTGCGTGTTCTGTTTTCAACAGTTAATAGATTAACAAAACCCCCTGTTCAAATGCCATTAGAGCTTACTTCCAAACGTAAATGCAATGAGTTTGCTAATTTTTTCAATGACAAGGTTCAAGGCATCAAAAACGCCATTGTCTCCAATCCACAGATAACCATCCAACAGCCAGAAAGGCTCTCTGAGCTAACTCACTTTGCACCTGTAAATGATAAAACTGTCCAAGAGATAATCTCCAGTTTGAGCTCCTCCACATGCAGCTTGGATGTACTACCCACTAGATTTTTGAAGTCTGTTCTGAGCAGTCTGTTACCTTCACTCACACAGATAGTAAACATGTCCCTTCATTCTGGAATATTCCCAAAGGCCCTGAAAACTGCAGTCATCAGGCCCCTGCTAAAAAAGAGCAGTCTCGATGCTACGGTACTTAACAACTATCGTCCCATCTCAAATCTGCCATTTATGGGGAAAGTCCTTGAGAAAGTTGTCTACCTACAGCTTACTAGATTTCTTATAATCAACAACTCATTTGATATGTTTCAGTCCGGCTTTAGGACCCCACCACAGCACTGAGACTGCTCTCGTTAAGGTTACAAACGATATCCGGCTGAACACTGACGCAGGCAAAGTCTCAATCTTAATCTTGTTAGATCTAAGTGCTGCCTTTGACACCGTCGACCCATGAGATCCTCTTACAGAGACTAGAGGACTGGGTTGGCGTCACTGGCACCGCCCTAAGTTGGTTTAGGTCTTACCTTGAAGACAGGAAGTACTTTGTGGAGATTGGAAACTGTGTCTCAGATCATATGGCCCTGACCTGTGGAGTCCCACAGGGGTCGATCCTGGGACCTCTTGCTCGTTCAATCTCTACATGCTGCCGTTAGGTCAGTTAATACGCAGAAACAAAGTTTCCTATCATAACTATGCAGACGACACTCAGATCTATGTCTCACTGACTGCAGGAGAACATGGACCAGTGGACTCACTCCTTCACTGTATCCAACAGATCAGTGAGTGGATGCAAAACAACTTCCTTCAGCTAAACGCAGACAAAACTGAATGATTGTCTTTGGTCCCAGAAACAAAGAGAGAGCGTCATCTGTCACCTACAGTCTCTCTCCCTAAAACCTTCAAACAAGGTCAGAAATCTAGGGGTAAAACTGGACTCAGACTTAATTTTTAATAGCCACATCAAAAATCAGTAACATCAGCAGCTTTTTACCCCCCATCCTAAACCCCCATCCTCCTCACTCTACATCCAGGCTCCCTTCCTACCTCCCCCCAATACCTAACACCTTACACATCCATTCAAAACCATATTCACCTCTCCACTCCAACCCCCTCACACATCATTATAACCCTACACACAACTCCACTCCCCCCCACACAAATATCCCATAACTACCCACAATACCCCCCTTCCATCTTCTCCATTCCATTCCACCATAATATCCCCTCTACCTCCAAACCCTCTTCATCAAAACTAAACCATCATCACCCCCCCCTACAAACATCCTCCTATCTCCCTTCCACACACTTCCCCATAAACCCCCCTTATCCCATCCATAACATAAAACCCATATCCACCCCATATTTCAAAACACAAAAACTCAAACTATAAAAATATCATATACCCTTCAAACAATAAAATACCTCACAAATCCAATCCTATTTAAATCCAATATCACACACCAACCCAATCCAATCCAAATCCAACTATTCCCCCCCCCTCAAACCTTCCATAACCTAACCCTCCCCACACACCTCATTTCCAACCATATTCTATTCTTTTTCACAACACCCCAAACACATCCCCTCCTCCCCAACATCACCTCATCACATCCCTACAACCAACACTCACCCCCCACACATCCACATATTCCACATTCACTCCATTCCCATCCTACCCCCAATATTTCACCCAAATCCACAACTCTTCCCACCATCATACCAACCCCAACCTCTTTACAACACACCCAACCCCCACAATCTTCTTCACCATTTTCAAACACCCACCCCACCCCAAAACCACATCAACAATCCCCCCCAAAAACCAAAAAAAACCCCCCCCCCCCCCAAAAAACCCCACAAAAACCCCCCCAAAAAAAAAAACCCCCCCCCCCCCCCCCCCCCCCCCCCCCCCCCCCCCCCCCCCCCCCCCCCCCCCCCCCCCCCAAACCCCCCCCCCCCCCCCCCCCCCCACCCCAAACCCCCCCCCCCCCCCCCCCCCCCCCACCCCCCCCCCCCCCCCCCCCCCCCCCCCCCCCCCCCCCCCCCCCCCCCCCCTTATTTTAAAACCCCCCCCCCACCCCCCCCCCCCCCCCCCCCCCCCCCCCCCCCCCCCCTATTTACCAACCCCCCCCCCCCCCCCTTTTCAGTAAAACAACCATATTAATACATTTGCAAGAGTCCCAGTGGGCACTGACTAGTACATAAAAAAAAGTGCAGGAAACAATGGCAATCACTACAACAGTTTAAATACAAGTGCAAAGATCATTAAAGGGCTCTGTGTAACCTGATAAGACGTTGTTAGCAAAGGCAAGATGTCCTCGAATTCACATACAATATTATTTGCCGAGGAAGAAGCTTTTCGGAACATTGCTTTTAGAGGGTGGCCAGAAGTGTAATTGATTATCTTACAGTTTTTCTCGGTCGCTTTGGTGCATTTTTCACATCGTTCTTCACATTTGCCCACATCTGTTGGTGCATCGTCTCAGAACAATTAGTGCAAATGCAGAAACCTCGTGGATAACCTGCAAAGTGCGTCACTTTCTCAAAATGAAAAGTTATGTCCTCAAAGCAAAGTTCAAAACGTCAATGGGAACTGTCTGTTGTCGTCAAATATCAATATGTCCTAACACATTGAGGGAGGAATTAGAACATCACAGTCAAATGACTTAGTCATGTTTTCATTGTGAAGTTTACTCTCTCTGTGTTTTCAGAGTAAAAAGTCAGATCTCGGTGGACACTTGAGGCACGACTCATGAGCACACTGTACAGACCTATACGGCATTTACAGTAAAATCTACAGTAAGTTACACAAAGACTGTATTTAGAGAGTTAACTGACATTCTGTAACCTATATGTATATGTATATGTATGTATGTTATTTTGTGTATCTATGTATGTATGTACGTACTGTATGTATGTATGTATGAGTGTATGTACTGTAGTATGTATGTAGGTATTTATGTATGTGTGTAATCTAAGTATGTTCAGTATGTATGTATGTATGTATGTATGTGTGTATCTATGTTGTATGTACAGTATGTATATGTATTATGTGTACTGCATATGCTCTTTGTATTTCTGTTGCACTATGCGTGTAGAATTGCAGGCACATACAGTATAGGTATATGTAGTATATAATAGAACAACATACAAGAAATATCATTATGGTAGAACTGTGACAAAAATGAACAATAAGCATACTCATGAGTGAAAGCTGATATTCACCTGAGATAAATTGTTCAATTTAAGAAAGAATTTTCAGGAAAAAAAAGATTAAGGAATGTATGAAATTAGCTGACAAGTTATGATTTGAGAACTAGTTCAACACAATTTTGTATGATGACCAAAGCGATGAAATGAGGACAGTTACTTTTTATAGTGAAGACTATTCAGAGTGATAGAGTGTGTTTCATTTGTGACTGACAGGGCCAGAAAGCAATGATGATGTTGAAAAAAACGCTGAGATTTGTATGAAAGTAACTGGATACATGACAAAAGCATTTGAAATGTGTTCAGAGGAACTGAGAAACTGCATGATCATGGTGCCCAATGACACAATGTTGTGGAGTTGAACAAATAGTTTTGAGAACTTTAAGTCTGATGTGAAAATGCCACCAAACGACTGAGAAAAAACTGTAAGAGCTCGGTTTAAAAATATGGATTCGTAAGAGCAAACAGAAAGGCAGAGTCACACCTTGTTAGAACCCTCCTTTCTTTGGCTGTAATGTCACCAATCCATTTCCAATTACCAGTAATGCACTCTTAGGATGGCAACAGTAGAATGTTGCCAAAAGCATGTGAACTAATGTTTGTAACGAACTTGACTTTACGTGAAAATACCGTGGCTCAAGAGCGTCTCAATTAAGTGAATATGTTATGCCGAAGGCAGAGGACTATTTTACAAGTATTAATTCACTATCACAGACATTGCTGAAGCTTAAGCTCTTATTCTAACGCCGGGATTAGCTTTCAAACTGTCCACTTAGAGGCTTTGTTTCAGCAGTCGATAAAGTTCTGTGCTGCATTAAGACACGCCACACCACAACACGAGCGTGCCGGCGAACGAATACAGTCAGGGCGCACCTCACTGTACACCACTTCTGATACGTGCTTTAACTGCTGATATTATAGTAACTACCTGATTTAATAGATTTGTGATCTTCGTGTGTTACTATGAACTTGACTTTGTAATGCCTTTGTTAATTGCAATTTGTCAGGAAATATAACATAACTAACATGTTGCTTATGGTATGGTATATATTATCAATTGAGATTGACAATGTGGCAATCGCGACATACATAATTTATTGGATTATATTATAAATTACATTTGACATACACTGTAAATTTAGGGCATTATTGAACACCAACGCAATATATGGATATATATCAAACCTGAACACATACAAAGGGATTTTTTCACATTTATCACAAATTAAGCTTAGGCTATATTGCAACAGACACTTTAGTCTGTCATGCTGGAAATGTCAACTGATTCAGAAAGGAGCCGGTGTGGCTGCAGGTTTTTTATTCCAACCAAGAAGGAGCACAACAGAATCCACCCATTTCCTCTACTTTGTGTATGTATGGTGTATTGGTATTGTATTGTAAAGTGTGTTGTGTCTGCTTGATTGAAATTAAAACCCTGCAGCCTCAATGGGCTATTTGAGGACTGTTTGACACTCCTGCAGTAATCGGGATCCTGGAATGTGTATACTGGGCCCAAGTGTTAAGCTAAGTACATTGTGTGACTTTGATTGGAATAGAAGTGTATTGGTACACTGTAAAAACTGGCGGCAATTAACACTTCCAGATTTCTCATATTCTGCGCTGTACGTAGACATCACAGGTGCTAGTATTACTGATAATACTGGATCATGTTGTTCAGTGGAGAATTAATAAATAAATACATAAATATACACTTTTCTTTTCCCATTAGCTGGTAACTTTGTCCTCTGCATTTGACCCTTCCTTCAATGCCACATGGGTCTATGTCAGAAGCAGTGACTCTAAATACTGACGGACGTAGTCACGCCCATCTCCGCCGTTCTAACTAATGTGCCACAAATTCCGCGGTCTATGGGCAGTTTCAAAATGGCAAATGTGAAAAACGCATCTGCGCAATGCGTCAGCCGGCCCGAGCCCCATTCATTTAACGAGTGCCTTCAAAATTTCACAGCGACTGAACTAGACTGGTCCACCCCCATCGGCCCGGGGTGGTATTGCAAGCATGTCAGCGCACTTCAATTTGGCCACTTTTGAGCCGGGACCCGCCCCCACTGGTCAGGAGCAGTGGTCGCCATAGTACAGCGCCTGAGGACGCAGCTCCAGATGTTAATGCTCGGCTTTGTCAGGACCAGAGCCAGAGGATTTTATCGATTGTTCGTGTTTTTAGTAGTAGGGGAAATCAGAGCACCCGGAAGAAAGCTTATGCAGACACGGGGAGAATATGCAAACTTCACTCGGCATACTACACTGCAAATCAGAGGTCTCAAACCGGTTCCAGAAAAGGGCCATGTGGCTGCAGGTTTTACTTCCAACAGCTCTGAGCAGCAGCACAGATGACTCCACCCATTTCCTCAGGTGAGTCCAGTTTTAACCTGCAGATTTGAGGAAATGGGTGAAGTCCTCTGTGCTCCTGCTCAGTTTGGAACTGTTGGAAGTAAAACCTGCCGCCACATGGCCCTTTCTGGAACCGGTTTGAGATCCCTGCTGTAAATCAATCAAATCTTTATTTAGAACACATTTATGTTTGAGGTATTATTTAAGTTATGGATTTCTTACAACACTTTAGAGGCCATTTTGGTTCATCCTAAACTTGTCAGACCTTGGTTATCTGGAGGTCAACTGTGACGTCGCACACGCTCAGAGGAGTGTCTACGATTCCTCCATGGTATAAAACCACAGGCACACAACAAATATTTGGACCTGTCATTTTGCAATATCAATAAAGTTTTCTGCTGTACACGACAAACAAGTTCGTTACAGTTACTCACTTTTTCTTCCCCAAACGGACTTAGTATCTTGTGATGCAATTATACAATCTTGCGTTGTTGTTAATCTACATCTACAATAACAAGTGCTTCATGACTCAAAATCAGAAGAAGTTACAGTATGCAGAAGTAGAGCTTTAAAAAATCTGCAGTTAGGCGTTCTCTGTAATGGTGTATTTGTATGATTTTGTCTTTGTAAATCCAGATATGAGCCACATAAGGATTGACCAAAAAGATCCCTTCATTTTCAGGGCCCTTGCCTTAGCAATTTTTTCAGCAACACGTTTGTAAAATTATTAAGCTAACACCAACAGAAAAAATGCCCATTTTGTACTTAATTCTTACGTTGTAACATATATTATAAACTGCTTCCTTATTATGCCAAAACTAGAGATTTTTTAGTAGAGAGTTTAGTATAGAGCTGTGTTCATTGACCTGGTGCTGTGTGCTCCTTATTCTTACTGTTCTGTAACTTGTCATGCAACACTGAAATTTCCCAGCTGTGGGACGGATAAAGCAGCTCTTAGTCTTAATCTTAATCTTTTGTTCAAACCTTCTCAGCAAGAAGGTCCTAGGTTTGAACCCTGATCGGAACAGGACCTTTCTGAGTGAGGTGTGCATGTTCTCCCCGTGTCTGCAAAGGTTTCCTCTCTCCGTGCTAAAAATATGTGCGATAGGTCTGAATGTAAAGAGTTAGTGAATGGATGATGTCGGTTGGGGGCCTGGGGGTTCGGCGTCTCGCTTCCGGCATCACCGTGTGGAGAGAGACTGAGAAAATATATCTGAACTTTGAACATTGTAAAGCTCTTTGGGTGACCTTGGTCTGTAAAAATGCACTGAAAAAATAAACATGGCTTACTCACTTACTTACATAAAGGCCAAATCTGTGGTTATGTCAGCCCTTGGTCAATCCACTCCTAATACAAAGTTAGCCTGAAAACCGGAGCACGTGGAGGAAACCTACGCAGGCATGGGGAGAACATGCAAACTCCACTAATACAAGTTACAACATAAGACCATGCTGCTGCCTCACGCTGAGCAGTGGACAAAAAGATACTTAAAAACTTCTTCATACCTTTTTCCCCATTTTTCATGTTATTAACCCCCTAAAATGAGTAAGACTGAAACGGCTTTGCACCTGAACGAACCTCCGTAGAGTTTAACCGGCTGCATTATTTAACATACATTTATTCAAAACTCAGGGAGAGAGAATCTAACAGGAGCAGAGCGTCATTGTTGGGAGTCTTTGTGTAACGAACGTGGATGTTTTATTCAGTAAACAGATGCAGGATGTGAAGCGGCTGTCGATCTCGGCTGTCACTCAGGCCTCATCAGGACCAGTGCATGAAGCCCATCCTGTGTGAGTATGACGATGAAGCCCAGATTAATAATGAATGGAAAGCGCTGATGTTGTTGTTGTTTTTTTTTTTTGTAAAGCCCTGTTTCTACCGGTCCACGCATTGGCTTTGTCCGTGTTGCTTTCTGGAAGTGCGTGTGTTAGAAATCAGCCATGTGACTTTAGCACTGGGCTGAGATGCTGTAATATCGTAGAGTGGAAGTGGAGGGCGCTGCTTTGAGTTTGAGTGGCTTTTACTGAATTTAAAAAGAAGGTCATTTATTTGTCCTACAATGGGGAAATTTCAGTTTGATGCATACAAACATGCAAACATGCAAACAACACAAGGCAAACATGCTTGCCTTGATACACATCAAGGCAAGCAGCGAACATCACTTCCACGCTCCTTATATAGGCAAAGTGGGTTAAGTGTCTTGCCCAAGGACACAACAACAGCAGACATTAATGGCAGTCGGTGGAGAAGGTCTTGTGGTGGGCTCAAACCCATGACCTTCAGGCTCAAAGGCCAATGCTCTACCAACTGAGCCACTGTCGACCCACATCAAGTTCTTTCAATATTTCTCGTAGGGAAACCTTTCATGTTAAAGTCTATCGTTAAATTCTGCAAGATTTTTTAGTCATGTTGAGCCCTATGACAATTTAGAAGAATGCTCAGTTGAAATAGAAAAACGTTGGAAACAAATTCTGATTATTAGACGGTTTTAGTTTTTTTTTGGGTTTTATTTTTTCTTTGGTGTCTTTGTTTTCCCCTTTTGCCCTTGTTTTCTGTGTTTTTTTTTTGTTATGCTTACATGCCGTTTTTTATTTTACTGAAATGAAAAAATGGAAAAGTTCTTTAATACAAGAGTATCTCGGCGGCGAGTCTGGGTCCCGAGATCCTCCAGAGACGCTCGTGTCTCCAGTCACGGTAGAATGTGAACTCAGGGTGAAGAAGCAAGCACTGCCTCAGTCCTGGTTTAGTCCTGGTTTAGTCCTATAGTCCTGGTTTAGTCCTGGTTTAGTCCTGGTTTAGTCCTATAGTCCTGGTTTAGTCCTGGTTTAGTCCTAGTTTAGTCCTGGTTTAGTCCTGGTTTAGCTGTTTTTGAGCGTCTTCTTCTTCCTGCTCTGAGTCTTTTGGCCATAAAGTTGAGCAATGTTAATCATGAGACGCTGTACCTAACACAGCTGCCACACTGCGGAAACCTACAGCCGCAACACAGTACTTGTTCCAATGTACCATTGACTTTGTGAAAAACCGCCACACAGGGCTCAACAGGAAACTGGACCTAAAAGAAATGTGTATTTGTTGTTTCGATGTTTGAGATTGATGCCATAGAAACACTGAAAACAGCACCTGGAACTGACAATGTAGTTTATAACCCGCTATTTCAGTCCACAAATGTCGTCTTGTGTACTTCCAACTTGTCAGACTTTCCTTTTTGTTTCCTTTGGTTTGTTAATGTCTTTAACTTAGGCAGAGATCTTGTTTGTCAGGAAAAACTATGACACATTTTCATAAATAATGATATGAATAAAATAAATGTAAAAAGTATTATATTATTTGTGAGAGTGACCGACAGATCAGTGCAGCGTGTTCTGTATCGAACTGTGGTGGTGAAGAGGGAGCAGCGTCTGCAGTCAAAGCTTAGTCTACATCCCCTCCCTCACCTCTGCTCATGAGTTTGGGGTAATGACCAAATGTACCACATCGCGATTCACATGAGTTTCCTCTGGGAGCCAGGCGAGGTGGCATGGGAATCTGTTTGGGATGCCTCCTGGACGCCTCATGGACACCTACTGGACACCTCCCTGTGGAAGTTTGAGACCCAGGAGAAGACCCAGGACACGTTGAAGGGACTGTGTTTCTCTGATGGCCTGGGAACACCTCAGGATCCCCCAGAGGAGTTGGAGGAAGTGTGTGTGGATGGAGAAGTCTGAGCGTCTCTGCTCAGACAGCTGCCCCAGAGACCAGGCAACGGATAAAGCGTAAGAAAAATGGAAACGGAATATATTCTTATTTGTACTTTTTTTAGCATCAAAACATATGAGTCATGGCTATGTTTTCTCTCTGTAATTTTCATGTTCTGATTTTAGATGTAATTTTCTTTTGTCCACTCACACAAAAGAATATTGTGTGAGTAATTCATAAGTATCAAAATATACATTAAATTACACTGAGATAATCAAAATAAATGTAAAGATAATGCAAATAAAAAAGTTCCTAAATATTCACGTATTTGAATTATTATTAAGAGATAATTCAATACCCTAATTACTTTTATTTTGCTTCTTCTTCTTTGGCACATGTCCCTAAATCACTTTCATTAGCCTTTCTTCCTTGTGACCATTTGTGAAACGAATTCTCCACCTGCCACACATCACCTCCCATCACCTCCCATCACCTCCCCCTCCTCCCCCACCTCCCCCGCCTCGCTTACCTCATTTCCCAACCAAATACCTGTTGGGACGCACGCAAGCATGTTATGTTTTCCTGTCACCGGGAGGAATGTCCAAGAAGAAGGTGTGTGTGCGAACGCGGGTGAGAAGCAGGATGGGGGTGTGGGGAGGGGGGGCTTTAGGACCCTGGAAAATGCTCATTAGGGTTGACCTTGGCACCGGGAGCAGGCGTTTGATGGATCGGCTACAGGGCCAAACAAGCCCCAGGGGAGCCATGATCTTATCTCTTATTGTAGACACACATAGAGCACCACCCCCCACCACCTCTCTCCACCTCCCTCCACCTCCTCCTAACCGGACCCGAAAGAAAGAAAGAGAGAAAGAAGGAAACCCCACGAAGATCGGATCTCTGCGCCGCATCACAACGAGAATAAATCTGTGTCTGACATCAGGGAGAAAAGAAGGAGATGGAAAGGAGCGTGTGTGTGTCTATGTGTGTGTGTGTGTTGGGGGGGGGGGGGGTCAAGGGCAGGGACGTGCAGTCAGGGGAGGCAGGGGAGGCAGAGCCTCACCTGCCATTATTGGAAACTAATAATTATTTTAGTTTAAATATATAATTTATATCCACTGTCCTATGCTTTTAATGTATATTCGGCACGGTTCCCATCAGTTTTGATCATTTCTGAAGTCAAAATCGCCGAAATCCCGTTATTCCTATTCAAAAAGACGAGGTGAGGCAGCGCTCCTGCGTGCCTCACCCCAGACCGCTCCCTCACAGTGTGTGTGTGTGTGTCTGAGTGCACTCAGCTCGTGCAGTTGATATATCACCGTTTGTTTCAAATATCCTGCTTTAAAAACATTTTTTAAACTCCTCTTAGGCCCTGTCCACACGAAGTCAAGCTCAGGCCTAAACGCAAAAATACTTTATCAATCCAGTGTATCGTCCATACGAGGCCGGCGTTTTGGGGGGGTGTAAACGAACATTTTTGAAACTAGGTCCCAGAGTGGAAAGATTTCAAAACTCCGTATATGCCGCTCCGTGGTTACTGCCTCTCCGCAATGTATCTGAGACGCTTGCGTCATCGCCCCGCCTCTTGTTAAAGCACGCATGCGCCGCACTCAGAAAATAATGACAACAACAATGTAGCTTGTTGGTTTTGTAATCCAGTGCGACCCGAAGCAACAGTTCAACCTCATCGTCCGTCCATACTAATGTAGTACCAGCTCGCCCACTCGCCATGTTGTCTGTTTACAAAATTCCGCGCATGCCCACGGAAGTTTGGGCTTGATCCCGTCATTGCGTCACAGCGCCACCAACAGGTCTGGCATAGTTTCACAGCGTTTTCAGGCGTATTGACTACATTCATATGGACGCACACATTTACTGAGCTAACTCCGTGTTTACAGAAAAAGTTTCTGAAATTATAAGCGTTTTGTCTTCGTGTGGATATAGCCTTAGTGTTTAGTAGTGTATTGCACGTATGTGTGTACAATTTATATTTAGTTTAAGTCTTTTGATCGTAGATGAACACACAAGGAAAAAGCTTGGCGTGAGGCAGGCGGTATCTGTGCCTCACCGCTAGGGGTGATAGTGAGCATAAAGTTCATACCAGAGTTGCTAACAAACAATCAGCCCAAAATGCTATTTCTTTTGCTGGAAAATGGATGATTTGAATGAAGATTTTTTTTCTCAATTGGACTTTCAAACAAAGAAAGAATTAATATAGACTGGGAGACCACCACTGGACTTACGAGGTTAGTCCGGCTGCGGGGGAGGAGTTTGTTAATCTGTGTTTTATGTTGAACATTGACAGATACCGGCAAAGTAGTGCTTTTCCGAAAAACACTGATTCAAACACTGCTCAAGAGTTCTGCAACTTGTTTAAATTATTGTTTATGTTCCTCGCGTCTCTCTCTCCTCGCGTCTCCGTCTCTCTCTGCTCCTCGCGTCTCCGTCTCTCTGCTCCTCTCTGTCTCTCTCTGCTCCTCGCGTCTCCGTCTCTCTGCTCCTCTCTGTCTCTCTCTGCTCCTCGCTCTCTCTCCTCGCGTCTCTCTCTCTCCTCGCGTCTCCGTCTCTCTCTGCTCCTCGCGTCTCCGTCTCTCTGCTCCTCTCTGTCTCTCTCTGCTCCTCTCTGTCTCTCTCTGCTCCTCTCTCCTCGCGTCTCTCTCTCCTCGCGTCTCTCGCACCTGCGCTTCTTAAAGATGTTGTTTGATGCGGAGCAGAGTCAGCAGCTAGATTTGTTGTGAGATTATTAAAAGAAGCTGGTTCTCTTATCTTTACAGTATATAAAGTTTGTGGATGTCATTGCATTGGTGATTAAATGCTATTTTATTTGAATAATGATTGTAAATCTGACTTTTAAAGTCAGTGCCTCCCCAATCACAAACCTCACCGCACGTCCCTGGTCAAGGGAATTGGGGGGGGTGTGAGTGGAGGGGGAGCATCGGCCCGGTGAGCTGTCATTACCTGTGTGAGATGTTTTATGTGGGAGAGAGTCGGTAGGATGAAGGCGAGAGCGGGACATTGAATGAGAAGGCAGCAGGATGCATTAGGGGTAAATAATGGGGGGGGGGGGGGGGGTCCCTCTGAGGAACTGTTGGAGAGAGTGTTTTGATGGACATAGGAGGCAGACTGTAATTTGTGATTATTATTTAACCTTTATTGAAAGCTGGCGTGGGTCGCTTTCAGTCAGTCCAACTGCTTTCTGGTTATAACACCACTGTTACGGCCCACGGCCCGTAATTCCCTATTTTGGGGATTACTTTAGTTTCTCCCGTGGTGTCTCTGTGTGGTTGTGTTTCCTCCCTTTTTTCAGAAGATCACGCTCGTGAGTCCTGGGCTCCTATTGGCCAGTCATTCCCCACCTGGAGCTGATTGACCGCGATGCCTGGGTGCTGATTGGGCAGCAGCTGAGGCAGGCCTCCAATCAGCGTGCGCTCACCTGGAGGACCCGCCCTTATAAACTGCCAATCTTCCGCGGCTCAGGGCAGCTGGAGTCAGTGGACTCCAGTTCGCCATTAGTTTTGTCTGTGTTTTGTCACTTGTGCCGGTACCTTAGTTCAGTGACTTGTTTAGTTTATGTTGAGACACTTTAGTTTAGGTTTACACTTTTGGTTTTGTCAACTGCTTACTTGTTTTAATAGGGTATTTATTTACTGTGTGTTATGTAGATATTAATCCTATTTTGTTTTACCTACTTTGTCACCTAAATAAATTATGATTTTAGTTACCATTCTACCATCTTGGTTATTTTGTTACTTCCTCACACCTAGCTGAGCCGGGTCGTAACACCACATCACTGTATTTGTCCCACAGAGGTCAAATTTCAGTGTTGCATCGTACAGAACAGCAGGAATGACCCTAACCCTAACACAAGATAAGTGGGTAAGAAGAAAAGCACAATTCTATACTTTAAAAAATAAATGTCTTAATAGAGAAGCTCAGTATAAAATATGTAGTGCAAGAAGTAGAAAATGATATGTATTAATCTGTAGGTAAATCTGTAGAACACTCATCCTGTCAGACCTTTGAAGCTGTGCAGGGCAAGGCCTGGTTAGTACTGTGATGGGAGACCTGTTGGAACACCAGGTGCCACATTGAGGCGGCTGTAAAGTGCCAAACGGTTGTTGCGTTCTTAAGCAAGACACTTCACCCACTTTGCCTAGAATGAGTCTGGTGTGTGTGTGTGTGGTTGGTGGTGGTCGGAGGGGCCGATGGCACATGTACTTACTTACGTGATTATCAACACTCGGAGCCGACATTTTGACTGCTCCCATTCAAGCAAAATTCCATTGATTACATATTTAAAAGTAAGTAATCGATAAGGTTTGTTTTTACCTTTACTCACGCATAAAAAATGCTAAAACTGTTGAAAATAACTTGTATAATAGCAAAATAAATTTAGTATTTACACTTCCAAAGCTAAAACCCGTCAAATCGACTGCTCTGCGAGTTCTATTGAGTTGCGAATAAGTGATATACAAATAAATGTTCCACTTCTTCTTCCTACAATGTTGCTCTCCTCAAAGTTTCCCTCTTTCCCGATGGACTCTTTCTTTGCCGAGGGGCTGTCGGAAAAGCTCTGAGACCGTTTCCCACCGGCTTCATTTGAGTAAAAGCGAAACAAAAAAGTAAATCAACAATTACCGCATGCGCCGCCGCTCGCAGAATTAGATTGAATTGTAAACGCGACGGGTAAAAGTTGCAAACAATACGATGAAACGCCGTTGAATCACTTCCTTTTCCCCGTCTCTACGCCTTCAGGTCGGGCCTCCCCACACGCGCCGTCTGGGCTGCTAATCTGGGCTGTTAATGAAAGTGAAAGTGCCTGCGTGGAGGATCATAGTCCGCACATTAAACATCTCATCTCTCCTGTGCTTTCCGCGAGGCCTTTGTTCTGTCTTCTCCCACAAAACCTGGCAACAAACAGAGCGTTTCGCCACCACCGCCACCAACGCTAGCATAGCAGCACCAGCCACCCGCTCTCTCTCTGCTCCCTGCTCCCCTGAATGAGGCAACATCCACCTCCAAACGGTAAAGTTTCTCTCTGCAAGCATCTCTTTCCTCCGCTGGGGGGTGGGGGAGGTGGGTGAGACGGCTTTGTAGCGCGGTCTTTTTGCCTCGGCGCCGTTGGGAACTCTCGGCGCTCTCAAGTCTTAATTGAGGTTTACCTGAGTGCGCGTGCGGCTGCTGCGGCGGCGTGAACGCGTGTTTTAACTTTATAATCAGGCCTACAGGGTTTTCGGCGGAGGGAAAGGTGGCGGCTTTACAAACTTGTTTACAGCGGCGGATAAGTTAAGGCGAAGGGGAGGAGAAAAAAAAAAGGAACAATGAGAGAGAGAAAGTGGAAGTATGGCAGGAAGCGACTCGGCTGGAATCAAAAACACAAAAAGATGCGAAGGGAGGCAGACCCCGAGTCGACGCGTGCATGAAAGTAAAAGTTTCTTTCAAAAACAAAATGCAAAAGTTAAAGTCTATTTGTTGCCGTAAATCTTCGTTTAAAGCTGGAGCAGTTTACGTTGTGAATGCAGATATAGAATTAACTTGGCAGCAAAGAGAAGTCGGATGATGAAGACGTAAAGC